CTCTAGCTCTGGCGTGATTGCAAACTTTTCTGAGGTAGGGTCACCAAACCGCCTCTGGTGACCTGACCTGAGGTCAGATCAACTCAAAACTTTCAGACATGTTGCGTAGAAGCCTTTTAGGAAAAGTCAGAAAATTTGAGCTTCCTAGCTCAACGCGTTTGGGAGAAATAACCAAAAAACCTCAGGGGGGGGGGCTCCTGAGGCCCCCCCGCCAGGAATAGGGTTAAGTATACTTTAACCCTCGCCCGTATGGGGGGGGGGTCGAATGGACCCCCCCCCCCATGGTTTTTCGCGAATAACTCGCGTAAAAAGCGGCCGATCGCGACGAAACTTTCAGTACCCTCGCGTTCTACAATTTCACACCTACCCTGAAAATTTCATGACCCTGACCCAAATGACCTTTGACCTGTGACCTACTTTTCGAGACCATGTTTGGCTGGAATCGCGATTCGGCGTATGTCGGCTCGCATTAGCCGCGCGTTTGCAGTCTTTTCGTGGTTTCAAGCGTTCAAACATGTGATATGGTGTTGCCCCCATGCATTAGGGTGGGTGTCAAGGTCACCTGAAGGTCAGGTCAGGTCATTGACCTTTGATGACCTCGGTTCACTTTTTCGAGATTTACATGTTTCTAGGCCAGTTTTTGGAGCTGAATTCGAATTTAGCAACCATATGAACATTTACGAAGTAGTTTTGGTGCCTTCGTAACATGTTACGAAGCTGTCAGAGGCGGTTGCCACCTACTACGAATACCCTTACTGGTTGACCTGACCTGACCTTACCCGACCTGGCCTGAATACATGAAGACATCATCTGTGATCAAAACTAACATGATATTCGTGATCAGCACCCCGAAAAACCCCATAGCAGCCACACTTTACGACGTTCTAACAGGTCCCGATTTTCCCGCCTTTGGGGTCATTGACCTGACCTGCAAGGTCAACCAATGACCTAGGACCTTAAAATTGGGTATCATCGGCTTCCTCTCGTCACGGGCAACACGCTCGTTTTTTCCGCGAAGCTCTAGCTCGATCAGGGGCGAAACGGCAAGGGGGGTCCAACGGACCCCCCTCCCCCCTTATACGTTCGCGGCTGGAAAAACACCAATACGGGCGAGGGTTAAGTTTTTCTTAATTATAAGTCAACTTTAATTAATTGATTAAGTTAAACTTAACAAAATTTCATCATGTAGCCTATCATTCGATTCGGCTGATCCCCAGGAACACAACGGCACCACTTTTTAAGCTCTAGCATCATTATGTGCCAAGTTATTGGCAAAAACGTCATTTGACCTCAGTTGACCTCATTTGACCTGACCCATGGATAAGTACACCAAACAAAGAAGCACCAAGTGACCTGCTGTTAAGTACTGTGGTTTCAAAGCACAAAAGTGATGGAACGTAGCGGATATCTCCAGTATTTTCCGAATTTAGTATTTTCCCATAGGCTTAACATTACGACGTAATGACTTCTAAGTTCTAAATGACCTCAGGTCAGTGACATCGAAAAACCCGAATTATATGTTATACAACTCGGTGAACTCAGCACATCCTGAAATTTTGAAGCTTATCAGTCCAAAACTGTGAGTTGGACAGGTGCAAAAAGAAAATTTAAATTTGACCATGACCTTGTACCGGTTTTTTTTTACCTGGTGACCTGACCCAAGGTCACCCGGACCTGAAATTTTCAGGTCATATGTAAAAAGGTTGCCCCATAGGCTGTGCCAAAATTGGCGAAAAACCTTAGGGGGGTTGCATCGAACTCCCCCCCCCCTGCAAGGGCGAGGGTAAACCACATCAATCCTGTTTTGATTTCAAAGTCAAATTTCCTCTGCGAATTTTAAGTTTGCAAACCCGTTGATCGTTTTGATCATGTATAATTCTCGCTTTTTGAAATAATTGCACTGTGAATTCGTGTTTTTGTTTTATTTTAATGACCTCCTTACAATGATAATGCAACTTTAATCTTAATCCGTTTTTTTTTAATAAACGATTCGGAGGAATAAACGAATTAAGACCAGTATAACGCCTTTTGAGGCGACTAACGGAGCGAGCGAGAGGGTGGGCCTTGCACGTGCGAAATTGCGAGGGGGTACCTCCAACTGACTTGTGCACGGCACCCTTCTAACCGGTCTCTAGCGATGTGCCAAATTTGAGCGCAATCGGCCCAGCCGTTCTCGAGATCTGGAAGCGACACCCTGCACGTGCGCACGTGCAAAATGGGCCCCGACTGACTTTTGCACGGCACCCTACTAACCGGTCCCTAACTGTGTACCAAATTTGAGGGTAATCGCTCGAGCCGTTCTCGAGATCTGGAAACGACCCCTGCACGTGCGCACGTGCAGCAGCACCCCAACTCTGTCACATGGATATGCAGTGCCTAGTGGGTGCCTACCTACATGCCAACTTTCAGCGCAATCGGCCCAGTAGTTACCGAGATATTGCAACAATTACAAAACTGACACCTCTTCATTTTGCACGTGGCACGCGCATAAGGGGTCACCCACATGCATCGGGAATAGTCCAATACTTGGTAGAAGGAATGAAGCTACCCTACAAAAATTACCGCATGTAAATCGGTCAAGTGGTTGCTGAGATATAAGCCTCACAAAAGCGTCCGCACGGCCGGCCGGCCGCTCATACTCAGAAATTTCCGTTAATCTAAGGAAAGACTCCGCTCGCTTCGCTCGCTCCGTAATTAACCCTATTAGTGGCAGGGGGGGTTGTTTTTATCCACCCCTCAGGTTTTTCGGGAATATCTCCGAAACCGCTGAAGCTACGATGCTGAAATTTTCTGACTTTTCCTAAAACTAAATTGGGCACATTCCCTGAAAATTTCAAGTTCATAACTTTACCAGGGGCGGCTCCAGAGCACTGGGAATTGGGGGGTCCTATTCGTGAAGCGAGTCATTTGGGCGAATATCACGATGCTGCACCAGTTTTACGAACAGTGAATGAAAGGTATCATGTGATAACATATACAGTTATTGTGCATCCTCTTTTGACACGTTTTTGCTATAATAGGCGGATCCAGGCGTCCAAAAAGGGGGGTTATGTTTTACCTCCCAACATAGGTGCCCTGACACCGCCTATGCATGACCAATACAATTTTAGTCGTTCTCTCATAAGAAAATTGTAACATAACAAGACCATTACCACCTTTTTAGAAACAGTACCAACAAAAACCTTATTTACTATACTTTTTGTGTACCCCCAATCTCAATGATCTGTATCCGCCTATGATTTTTGAAAATGCATATTTTTAGGATCCATGTGAATTCCTGGTTCATTCTCTATCGATCGGCAAAAGTTGCGTTAAGATTGGTTCAGAAACCTGGCCGTGATAAACAGTCTAAAATGTATCTGCAATTTGCCCGTTTTTACCCCCCTCTACCCCCCCTATTGACATTTTTAATTTTTATTTTTTAGAAATGTAGATCACGTTGAGCGAAATCGAATGCCGTTTGAATTTTGAAAATCGGCCCGTTAGATCTCGAGATATCAAGGGGGGGTCGTAAACAGCCCCCCCCCCCTGCCACTAATAGGGGGTAGCCAGGAGCCTGCCACTAATAGGTTGTAAGGAGGTCATTAAAGTGAAACAAAAACACGATATCTTGAAATACCTTTACAACGAGCCTTAAATGAAGTGTGAATTGTGCAATTAAATCAGATTAAGCTATGCGAAGAGCAAATACACTGTGTGTGAGATCAATTTTTTATAAAACATTCGTAAAATCCAACGAGAGGAAGAAAGCATGGTGCAGCGAGCCTGGTGGGGCCCCGATCAATGATCTCGTCTTATTGAACGTCATTTTCGATGACTTCCCGAGGCGACAACTATTCTGGGTCGCTGCGTCGTCCCACGCTTACGAGAACTGTCAAACAGCGCTGCCCAGTTCCAAAGAACAGTCACCCCGGAGGGCTGCGGAGGGGGGGGGGGGGTGGCCCGGAGGGCGACACTGACCTCAGCCGATCGACCACCCGTCGCGATCACGTGAGCTGAAGTGTTCTCGGGCTAGCTCCAGTGAGCTGTGCTGGGTGATGGTAAACTAATAGTGAGCTCCAGCGGCAGTGGGCTTGTCAAAAGGTCCAAAGAAACAGAGGCTATTCAGTTCTCAATATTTCCTCATGCGTGACGAAAACCCAACGAATAAGCATGTATTATTTTGAATTATACTTCACGGTATGGGCTAAAGGAGCAAGTTTCTTCACAAGGTCAAAGCATAGTTTATTAAGAAAACGGTGAGAGAAATCATAAGCTGGGTTAAACAGTTTAGGCTGTTCTTTTAGATAAAAGTTAAGTCCCATCGAAAATCATGCTCGGCATTAAACATTTATTCCGTAACCATTGGTAAATAGTGAATTTAAACGTTGGTGAAATATGCCGGGCGGTGTTGATTGCATTAGAAATAGTTCGAGAATAGCCGTTGCCTATTCCGTAGCTGCTCCCTGTGACCTTTCTTGTTACAAATAGCGATGGAAAATAACATGGAATGAATGGCAATGGAAATAGCAGTCGACATGGGCAGGAGAAGAAAATGCAGTTGTAGGACGATGAATTCGGCTACTAAGCTACTCCGTGCCAACTGTCTCTTGTTCTTTACTTTATGTAGACAATCCTGCATTCATAAATATTGCTCAAAAGTCAAAACTAAAGAAAAACTATCGCAGTATCGCAGTATGGCCAGAGAACATCAGAACAATTGCGTCATCATCCCGTCATCCCGTCATCCCGCAGAGTCAGTCAGAACATGATAAATTGACCAGATGAACTGCCCTTCATGCTTCAAACTCAGTCTGTGGGCAGCGCTGTCAGTTCAGACGTGTGAAACAATCTGGCGGCGTGCATTCCTCGATCGCGTTCGATCGGAGCGGGTCTGCCCCCTCCCCCCTCAATCTGTGCGCGCGCTGCGGTTGTCGACGTCGGCGTCTCACGGGTCCCGGGGCCATAAAACATCGGCGTCGGAGCGGAGACGTCCAGACAGGTGCCGGCGACGGTGGCTGCCGGGTGTGGAGCGTGGCAATCCGTGAAATACAGCCCTACTGGGATTCGTACACGATCGAACTAGCCTTTGCTGGTTGCTTGTTGAGTTTGCATATCAAACGAACTCGGAATTAAAGAAGAGTTCTTACCAGATCGAGCGGCTCTGAAGATACAAGTGAAGGAACAGCGAACAGGAAGCAGGCAGCTGTGAAGATGTCATCTTGCGACAATCTGTCGGAGAAGGAGCGGGAGCCCAGCGCCGGTCCCCACTCCTACCGCCGTAACGGTGCCCTCGGACCGGGCCGACTGAGCCGCTCTGTGGAGGAGACCCCCAGCGAGTCCCGGCGACCCCTGCGACCGTCACTCGCCGTGCAGAGTCGCAGTGTTGACTCCTCCCCGGTGAGCGCGCCCGGTCAGCGGCGAGGGGTGTCCTTCCAGCTGCCCGAGTCGCGTGCCTCGGCAGTCAGCCGGGTGGCCGCGCTGGCCCAGCGGGTCAAGCAGCTGGCTGTCTCCGCTGCGGCCTCCAGTGGTGGTCAGACCAAGCCCGATAAGGCCCCCAAGAGGATCCTGCGCCAGCCGGTGGTGCACGTGTATGTGCGCGGAGCGTCCGGCCTGCCTACCCAGAGGGTTCCTCTGGCTGCCGTGTATCGTGTGTCCAGAGACTTCAGAGCCTCATCAGTGTCATAATCTGGCCGAAAGAGAGCCACCCAAAGTTCCTAGGCTCCATCTCAAGTGGCTGTGTTCAAGGCGCTCGTGCACAAGATGTACCGGAATAGAGCCATGTGCGGTATGCAGATGTATTCAAAGTTACCTGTGTATCCTGTAGGTAGTCTTGTGTAGTGTCGACGAACTCGTCATCTATGTCCTATCATCTGACGGTGACGCTTGTCGTCTGCTGTATCTCTTCTGTCATGTCTAGCAAATACCTCGCAAGTGTCGTCTCGAAAGTATTACGGTATACCTAACTGTAAGACCTTTTGATGTACATATCTCAATTGATGATGTTCAAAGATGTGTTACACGCCTCACTGAAACGTATCAGCTTCAGCCAACCGAATGCATATTGTTGTCACCCTATCATGTTCATATAGAAAATACATAATTATACATTACGACATCTCTGACACTGACAATGTGATTGAAATGCTCGAGCCTCGGGGATTTGAGTTTAACCCGCGCCCCACTGGGGTCTGTGTATAACACGCCCTACTGGGGGGGGGGGGGGGGCTATTCATAGCCCCCCCTCCTAACTCCGAAACTACTGGGCCGATCGTCAAAATTCAAACGGCGTCTGATAGCCCCGGAAAAACTGTCGAGCGAAACCTAATTTCATTGACCTCGAGGTCACCGATGACGTCACAGGTCAGGTCAAAGTAAAAATTATTAGCACTTTGGCTTGTTCACATTTTGGGCTCTGGCCGCCGTCTTACAAGTCAGATCAGGCTCATTTTTGGTTTCCACACTCGTGAACAGATGCTCTAGATACCTTGAGGGTACCAAACTTGTACTTTGATTTTCAGGTCAGGGTCAGGTCATCACAGGTCACGAAAATATTATATCATGCGTCGGTCACGTGACACATGTTTTATGGTCCATTTAGGCCATATATTTCGAATTTGATGTCGTCTGTGTCATTCAAGGTCATTTTGAGTCGAAATTAGCTTAGGTCAGGTCACTTTCAGGTCAAAAAAGGTCAAATTTTGAAGTTGAAATTTTTCAACAAAAAAGGTGTCTATTGGATGCAGTTTGAGCTCAGGAACACGATGGTGCCATTTATATTGGTGTACGATGCCAAATACGTACTGAAAAATTGATTTGAAAAATTAATAATTGTGAATTTTTTGCAATAATGCGTATAACTTGGCCATTTTTGAAGATATTTAGCTAAAACTTGCTAGAGTTAGTCATAATCATGCGTTCTGTCACATATATTCCGGTTTTTTCGAAAAGTCAGAAACTTTTTGAAAAAAATATAAAAATATAAATTTTGAATATTATTATATAAAATTTTCGAAATTTTCAAAATTTTGAAAATCCGAGATAGCAGTTTGATAGCGCGGTCAATTCTGAGTCCTTTCATGCAAAGAAATTGGATCTAGCTTAAAAACTGAGCTCTTGGGAGCGATTGCCGTGGTTCAATGTTTTGCGTCGAAATCGGACGAACATGACGTCACTCTGACGTCATTTCCGGCCGACCTATGGTAGCTACGAAGTTCAAATTTTGACACAAGGTGTCAAATTGATGCAGCCGAAGGTACTGAAAGTTTAGCGTCGATTCGTCAAGCGGTTTGGAAGTTATTGCAGAAAAACGGGAGGGGGGGGCTATAAATAGCCCCCCCCCCCCAGTGGGGCGCGGGTTAATGGCGCTCAGCAATAGACAAGGATGTAATTTGTAAAGTACATACAGTTTGCTTACGCCATTGTGAAGTTTCAATTCAGTTACAAGGAGAGTGAATGAAGAGCCATTACCAAGTTTTGTTTGCAGGCGAGTTACCGCCGCCAGTTGCTCTAACTTCAAGCTCAAAAGCCTTTTATGCCGCATGCAATTATTGTTTGCTCAAACGAGGATAACTTTCTTAATAAGTAGCGCAATCTACCAGAAACACTGGTAGGAGCTGAAAGGAAAAATGCACAAATGGACCAGTATTCAATTTGAAGCAACAAAAAGCATTGTCATTCAGTAGCTGCCTGTGCACCTGATATAAGCAAGCATGTTCTCAAACCACTAAGCCTACAATAGTGTGAAAAGCGGGAGGCGATGCGACGAGGAGTCAACGGATGGTTTGTGTCAAGACAACCATCGCTCCGAAACAGTATTTAAATAACAAAAAAGATCTTGACTGCACCAACTCAACCGACTTAACGGGCTGGAGAGTCTTCGGCTGGGTTCGCATTGCACGTGCCACATGTTTATCACAGTGAAACGTGCTGGCAATAGGCGCCAGCCAGCTCGCTAGCGCACATGATATGGGACAGTCGCACACATTTACTGATGATGCAAATTGCAGTGATCAGAATAGGTTTATATCTTTATTATGTAAATTCCATCCGATTCATTAGAAAAACTCGTTGTGACATCATCGCAGGAAATAATCTGCCACGATTAAATTATTACAGATGAGTATTTTGAGCCCTCGACACATTAGGCCTGACAGGTTTTTTTTCTCAGCTTTTTTTAGGATTTAATTAACTCCCAAGTAATACCTAATATCGGTGGGACCACTGCAACTGGTGGGAGCAGCTCAGCTCAAACAGTAACCCTTGTTTGGCAGGTGGTATCAATTTTAGGGCTGAATCAAACAATGAGAATTTCACACTGCCCAATAATCCCTCCTATTCTATCGCAAAAAATTATACCAACTAAGAAGCAAGTGTCCCATTTTGCCAGAACAATAATTACTTTTTATTGTCGATGATAGACTAAACCACTATCAATGCATCTGTTCCCGAGGAAAATTGCTGGATGCCTCCTGGGAAGGATATTGAAAAAGATGTAACTAGAGTAGAGTAATCTTAATGTAATTTGTAATATGACCACGTAAATCATAGCAGAACAATAGTATGGCTTATCAAACAATAATTTAGCACACACTGATGAAAACAGACCTCACATCACGCATCCACATTTCCACAGCATAAAATTAACGCATCTGTTTTGTTCTCCTTGTTGGTTGTAATAGTCTTATGGAAGGAAATCGCCCTGTCAGTGGCGCCAGACCAGACGGTCGTCAAGTTAGATGTAAGTGAATCCTAATTTATAATCTAAGATTCGGAGTCAGGCGGGCCCCTCCGATTTGTACTAAACTTGGTCAGTGGATAGAGTGTAACAACATTAATGTGCGCAAAAAAATATAAGCTCGGCCTGCTATATTTACGAAGCTACGGAGGTTTGAATTTCAAGGTCATCCGGGTGAGCCCCTGCGATTTCCATCGAAATTGGTAAACGGACATTTTAAGTTTTCATTATCACGAATATCATAAAAATTAAGCTGCGCCCGCCATATTTTAGGAATTACGGAGTTACAAAATTGCGAAATTTCAGTAAGCACCGCCACCGTATCGGAAAAGAATAGGCAAAGACACTGGACTCTGAGTGCACCAATTAAAAGCAGAGGCAATTAGACAGCCGACTACTCATCGCCATTATACATAAATACTGTACATAAAGACTGGCCTTACCAAACTCGGACTTGAACCACCATTTGTGGGACAATATACCGCTAGCACGCTAATCACTGCAGAGAGAGAGAGAGACGTTCCGTAAATACCTGACAGCTCTGCGAGTGCCTCTGGTGCTCTGTGATTGAGCTGGGGACATTCCACGAACACAGCAGAGCCTGTCCTCTAGAGAGACCCCCGAGTGGCCAAATACGAGCCGGAATAGCGGTCCGGCTCCCAGTGGTGGGACCGAGAGCCAGAACCGAGAACTGCATCTGTGATATTGATCTGGGTGCGGTTGACGGTAGATGACGATCTTTGGTTCCAAGATAGCATATAAACAAACAGTGTAGGAACTACTATAGAAGATTGGTTGCACAGATCGCATTGTGTGGCCGTAATAAGGTTGTTACATTTTAGGTTTTCATTTACGTTGCTTGATGTCTTTACTCCTTTCATTCCTCAACTATGTTGGCAAAACAAATGTATGTATTCGAAGTGGACTGACGTCAGCACCTGAATCAATGCGTTGTTATTGATGTGAATCCGGCTTGTAGGTATGCTTCACTCTCCGAAATGGTGTGTTTGGCTGGTTCTGCAGCGCAAAGTGAACTGTCGCTGTTGTTTTTTACTCCTTTATTTTGAATAGTGTTCTCTACAGATACCACGAAAATATTGCTCCATCTCATGCTAATAATGACGCTCGAGGATATGCTTCATCCATTGCTTACAGTTATGCGATGCTCACAAAAGTGATGTGGATACTTCACAATTTGTTAACGTAGACCTCTTTGTTGACTATTAACAATTATTACATGGCTCCTGTGTTAATTTGGCATGAGATATTTTTTACTATTGCCCGGCATCAGGTTACTGACCTTTCAGTGTCAGGTTACTGACCTTTCTGAAGGTGAGAAGCGGTTGCCATGTCAACGGTCAATAGTAAGTTGCTCGCGCAGTGGTGTTTGAACAAAAATTCAAATGTCGTAATTTTAACGTCGTTTTCTCAGACTGTTCAGTTTGATTTCGTGGTTGGCTAGTCAAGTCATCAAGAACTGGGCCGTCATTTGAACATGTCCGTTCAAATACCCCGATTTAACTTGTTGGAGCCGCATGAATTGGATGAGCTATTTTCATCGCGCAGGGCTCAGGGCACTAAAAAGGTGATTAAATCAGCAGAAGACGTCTTCATTGAGTTCTTGCAAGTAAAAGGCATATCTGTTGAAAGCTGCATGCACAGCAACGATGTCCTGGACAACGCTGTGAAGGAGTTCTTCATTACTGTAAAACGCAAGGACGATGAACGCTACAAATCGAAGAGTCTCCTCAAGTACGGCGTGAAACAGTGGAGCCTCAGACCGGCGGCGGCCAGCTCTTCACAGGCTGCATCTTCAACTTTAACATGTAAAGCAACTAAGTGTGTGCCGTAGACATGTGACGTGGCTATGATTGTATATCCAATACATTCAATTGTACCATGATATTTGTGTTTGGGTATTTTTTATTACGGGATGAATGAGTACTAAGTAAAGATTCCGAGAGTTGGCCATGTAATAAAACGAATACTGCATGCGGGAGCGGGCAATAGCAAAAATATTACCCTCTGTAACGTCACTGTCGCCCAGGGATGCGGAGCCGTGGAAATTTCAGACGGCTCCGGCTCCGGCTCCGGCTCCGGAGAAAAAATCGGCTCCGGCTCCGGCTCCGGCTCCGGGTGAAATGTCATGGCGGCTCCGGCTCCGGCTCCGGCTCCGAGTAAAATGATCCGGCTCCGGCGGCTCCGGCTCCGGCGGCTCCGGCTCCGGCTGCTACTCAGTACATCCCCTATGCGATCAATTAAATACGGGTGGAATTGCGTGAGGGGCACGAGTGTGCGACGTGCTGTGTCCGGTTACGTACATGTGTTTGTGTATGGCTGTCGTGACTCGTGTGAATTATGAAATAAATTGAAGAAGAAAAAAAAATACGGGTGGAAGAAAAAAGGCGATGGGATTGGTACACGTTGCTTCTGTATTTGTATAACAAGGCTATTTTGAATACCACATTGTTTTACGCCTTGTACTGTCAAACCGAACTAGGTAAATAATTGTTTCCTCTTGAGAAAAGGAGCCGGAGTCGCCCCCTTTTTTGACGGCTCCGGCTCCGGCTCCGGCTCCGGGCTATATTGTTTCACGGCTCCGGCTCCGGCTCCGGCTCCGGGCAAAATATGCCGGCTCCGGCGGCTCCGGCTCCGGCTCCGGCTCCGGCTCCGCATCCCTGCTGTCGCCCTCGGGTGAAGACCTCCACAACTCGGGCGACAGTGACGTCACATCGGGCAATATTTTTTGCTATTGCCCGCTCCCCCATGCAGTATTCGTATAATTTGGACCATAGTCTTTAGTCAGTATAACTTACAAAATGCAATGAGCGAGCGTCATTCTCAGCTAACACAATTCAGCCACCAATTTCATCGTCGTCAAAACTCCTATCTCATGCAGCTGAGCGACATTACGAATGCTGAGCTGCTGGCGTTGCGGACAGGACCGCGCTGAAGCTGGGCGTTGGCTCTAACCCGACCAGATGTAATCTGTCATCTCTCTAATCGATATGCGGTGCTCGGAGCCACAGCCAGGCGAGAGTTGTACGACACGCATATAAATGTGTGCGGCGTTGCCAGTGGTATGGGCGCCATGCTGTCTGGTCGTTGGAAATTTATATCATGGAACACGTGGCGGGAGTGTTGCGACACTTGATGGACGAACTCGATGGTGAGACTATGTAGAGTTGTTCGCAGCTTGGCTACGTTTTTCCGTTTTCTGGTGGGTCTGGAGTTCTGGAGAGTGTGAACAGGCTCTGGCTTTGCTGCATCGTGAAATGAATGAGCAAAATGATCATGTGATGATGTGACTATAATAAGGCTGTGCCAATTATTTTACCGGCAGAGGCACTGGCCTTCTATGTTGTAACAGCGACCTAGAGTAGGTATGTCACCAGGTCTACAATCAGATTGTATTGCTAAGGACAATGGCTTCTATCAGACATAATTATGTTATAGGCTGGTTATTATCCAAAAAGAAACTTTTTGTCAATTCGCGAAGTTACATAATAGCCAATTCACAATGGATATATCGTATGGGCATAATGAAAAAGAAATGAAAGTATCTTGTCTCTACCATCCTGAAAGAGTTATTGAGCAACGTTTTATGACAGAATGCTTACATTTCTTTATTTTACAGGCGAACAAAAACAGTTACTTCACAAGTAATTTATTATCTATCAATCGTGGCAAAACTCACTAAGCACGGCAGCATTTTCTTCCACTAAGGCGAATCAGTTGATAAAGTCAGGTATGGTCAAGGCACCCTCCGGCGTGGTAGGCTCTCTCCGATATTTCGGATAGGCACTCTCACGGCAGTCACCTCCATCGTTGGGCTCCTGCAGGGTAATTGTTACCCTCTGCTCACATACTCCGTTTGGGTGATGTCCAGGCTCCCCCGGGCAGTTGGACATGGTGAGCTCGTCTCTGGGGTACTGGCCCGAGAACCTGCCGAAGATAGTGAGAACTGAGACCAGACACTTGGTAAATCCCAAGCAAATATCAAAGGTAAGTACACGCTTCTTCTTTGGAACTAAAGCTATCAGCTCTACAATGTTTTATGGATCCAGCATTCTGAGAACACCGCGACTCCACGGCTGATTATTCGTTCAATTCATTTGCATGCACAATATATAAATCGGTGGTTATTTCTAGCAGGGTGCCATTGCCTAGCTTGAGAGAGTTAGGTCCATAACGAATGTGCATCGTAATCATAAACCACCAATTAAGGAGATTAAAACGGTACTTCAAAGAAATAAACATTTCTCATTTTCATACAATTGTGATCATAATCCCTTTGTGGCGTGTATAAGAAGAAACATTTAGCCAGCCACTCGCATTAGGATGCACTTGCAATTACGACAAGAAAAACACTTTGCAGCCACACGACGAGGAACAATAACAAGCCGCCAGACGCAACAGATTGCATGCATGTTTGCAGACATTTGATAATGCATTCAAGTGTTCCAATATGCTTCTTGTTTACGAAACGTGAGTTTTACCCGCACATGTTGAATGTGCATTGTGCATACTTTTACCACAGTGTATATAAATAGCTTTTACAACACAATAACACTGATAAAGCATGGAAGGTGACTTACCTGAAGAAGATGACACCAACAGTAGAATCGTAGAAGTACTTGCTATTCCTTTCATCTGCTTTCAGTTCATCCAAGTCAGCGACACTGGCATAGCGTAGAGGCCACACTGATAACGTTTGATTTACCCCAACGCATATGCCAACATTCTGTGAAAGGCCAAGATCAAGCCCGTAAGATGATAATGTGAGACTCTTCGGCACAGTATTGTTGAAGTGCAAAATGTACGACTCTTGCGTATTTAGCGAGTAGCTAATTTGTTTCTCGAAATGAGACACCTCTGTTTCAGATGCCATCAAGTCGTTTCGGGTCATCAATGTGGGAATTAGACCGGCAGAGGTTGATACTCGGAGTCTCGTGAAGCGATCAGGGCAGATGGCGGTGCCGGGACCCCAGCTAGGCACGAGCACACAGCGTGCGTTCACCAGCAGCGGAATCGGACGCACCACGCTGGAGAGAGGATACGTGGTCAGCGAGCCGTCCCAGTCGAGCACCACGCTGTGACGATTGCCGTCTCTGTCATCAAACCCAATAATGGTGTCATCACCATCGTAAAATCTGGTTCCGTTGAGCGGATCGACAAAGTCGAATGTCACATTTCTGATGCTGGATACTGGTGAAGAAAAGTATCGGTTGGAAAACTTCTTCCCGATAGCTCCGGCAGGACGGAGGACGTTAGCCTGGAAGCCAGCAAAGGATGTGCTTATGACGTGGACTGGACCTCGGTAAAAAGCGACTCCAACCTGCGCATACCCAGCGTTCAGTCTGGGTAACGAACGGTTATTTTGGACGACATGTCCTGTCTGGAGGGTGATGCGACCAGCAGGTTCGCCGATATTGTTTGTTTCACCGACAACTCGTGAGTTCTCAAGGACCTCGTGATGTGGGCCGCGATCGTCTGGCTCTGACGAAGCAAAAATAATACCGATACCATTTTCTGCCAGACGAAAGTTGGTGCAAAGTGTCCACATCGATTTCAACCAGACACCCTGAGTGTTTTTGTAGGCAGTGAAGTTGTCCAGTCGCAGCTGAGCCAGGTCGCTCTCGGGATCCGTTGGATCTCGGAGTGGGATGTAGCGGATAGGTGTCGTACTGCCATCAGGACGAAGTTCATCATCAAGACGTAAGCCAAATCTTTTGTTGGAGTGAGCGACGTTTCCTCTGAACCGTTTCACTGCTGTCCGTGCAGTCTGGTTCCTGACCAGCCCCATATCCACGCTGGCAGATAGACCGATGGGCAGCTGCGGCATCAGAATCCAGATGCCGTTTCCATCCGAGCCCGCAGCACTGTTATCCACCAACTCATTGTCGGGGTTTGTGATCCAAAAGGTGCTGACTTTACCAGAGATATCGCTTGGCAGCAAACTTCCCGGCTTGGTACCAAGGCCGAGGTTGCCGATCAACCGATTGTCCTGTTCTCCGCCATCTCCCAAGAAGAAGCAGTGGCCCAGGTGATCATAGGCTACGTTGTCACTGACGGTAAGGTTGTGCGTTCCGTGGATCGCCACGCAACGTGAAAACGTGTTGTGAATCGAGTTACTTCGAATGTAGGCATGTTTATGCGACACATCTAAACACATGTGAAAGTGAATAGGATGCGAGCCTGGTTCTTCTTGTTGCCCCATGTGGAAAAGCTCAGCGTTTTCTATCCTCACCGATGTGAAGTTTTTAAGTATTCTAATTTGTCCTCCAAAAGTGTCGTAGTTGTAGCGTTCACAAACCTTTCCTCCATAACATTTATCCGCTACCTCTCCTCGGATTTTCACATTGCGTGTGAGGATCCCCACCTCTGCTCTCATGTCTACGCCGTCCGTAACTTCACCCCAGTGAGTATACCACACTGGGCCCATGATCTTCACCTGATGTTCATCGCATTCAGCACACTCAACGATATCGAATTCCTCAGCCTGGTTGAAATGAAAGTCAGTTGATGCGACGACAATTCGATCCCCGGGTCGCCAGCTTTCTACGGAATCAGCCAGATCCAAGATATTGTCAAGCGGAGGGACGTTTCCAATGAAGTACGAGGCCATTTCCGCCAGGCTGCCTGTCACCAGCCCAGAAAGTGACACAACGGATATTGCGGAGAATTCTACATTACCTATCGCTTTCATCAGCCTTCCGGTCTGCGATCTTCCGTTTAGCTTCTGTCCAATCATCTCTGTGCTATTACCGGGAAAACCGATATGGCATATTGCGGCAAATGCAACCTTTTCAGAATCTTCTATGTGGAGCATAGAGGAGCTTCGTGTGTTGTTATAGCACAGTATTGCGAATACAGTGCCCATGGATGTGGGCGTTTGGTCTTCACCAAATCTCGCCCATCTGGATACAACGATTATTACTACGTTTCCAATGTTTCTCATTACGTTTACGAAAGTCCACGGGCTCAGGACGACACCCCAATTTCTAACTGGATTTCCGAAACTGTCGAACTCATACATATGAAATCCTGGTTCACTGACGTTCTCATTTTGTAGCACGCTGTAAATTGGATCACCAATCACTTTCTCTATCGTTGTCTTCTGCAGAGTCTTTCTTAGTCGAGTCCAGGAGCGCTTCGGATGACCATGCACCTCCAGCACCCCTTCGCGCACCAGCAGTGCCTTCTGAACACCTCTGTCGCCGAGCCTCTTCCCCCTCTGACCAATCAGCACTACCTCAGCGTAACCCGTGAACGGACACGTCTCTGAGCCCACCCACAGCTCCCCGCCGGCCATATCTATGAGGCCAGCGCTCAGCCGCAGTGGGTCCGAGGTAGGGTCAAACACCAGACGTCCTCCTGGGCCGATGGTCAGTCGGTCCATCGGCGGTGGGCTGACGTCCAGCAGAATCCCGGTGGGGATGGTGACGTTGCCTCCACGCGGAACCTGCGGCAGATGCAATCACAGTGGATTAGTTATGCTCTATATCACACATTTTTTATTGTTCATTTCATATCTTTCATGGCTGTTTTGTGTTTGAAAAAAATATTTCAAAGATACCCTTGTCCTTTGAACATCTTCTAAAATTCAGCTTTGTAGCTCAATATAGACAAATATTTAATCACAGGACAACCTTTCGTGCAGCTTCGCTTTGTGCTGTAATCGAACTACAACCGGCTTTGACATAGGGGTTTGAACTGTGATAGATGCTTCTTTGTTTGAGCTTCAAACATCAAATCCAGGAGGTCTTATATCCAGGAGGATCCGGGAGGAGTCTAGGAGGAATTTACGCTTTACATAGTAAATCCAATAACTAGCTAAATGAGTCTTTACACCATGTGACTTCCCTACATCAAGATCAACACACAACGCAAAAAAAAGAAAAATAGAGAAACACCCTGTACCAGTAGCTTACCTCCCCTGTCAGCCAGGTCTCCGCTCTGCTCCACGGTTTTAAATCTTCCTCTTCATGTGGACAGTGGGTCTGACCAATACACAAAGTCCTTACAGCCAATACCAGCACCGGTACCACCACGCGGGGACGCATCGCGTTCTGCAGACACTCGGGGAAACTCTATGGGGTTCTCAAGGTTGGGACTCGAGTCGGTCTGTCGCTTGGCGCACAGTGTGAGACTGCTACAGAGATCTGCCTTGCTGGGACAGATGTGATTCATAGGCTCGGAGTTTTTGCTGTAGGGTTTGATTGTCGCGCTGAACATCTGTGTACAAAGCGAATGTGTCGACGCAAGAACGATGATATGCAGTTTTTTATGCCAACTTGAATCAGTCCAAGTATGGCGCAATTTATGTGATTTCAATTATAACCCATTATAAAACTTGCACAATACGCGCAATAGGGTTGGGACCTATCTGCATGCTCTGTATGTTTTGCTAAAATAAAAAAGCTCAGAATTTTTAATGATTTAATTTAAAATCACTTTGTTATAAAAATGCCTAGTTAGTTCAGAAATTAATTATTTGTGGCTGAAAACAACTTGCTTCTGATTGGTCGGGCTAATCATGACGTCACATGTAGGTATATAACTGTCTGTATATTTGGCGCAGTTGAGACATACATTTTCTATGTATTTTCCTATGGTAAATCGGAGTGATTGGTCGTGTTTTCAGTGTCTCTTTATTTTGCGCTGGTATTGCGTGGCTAAGAAGTTTTATCAAGAATGGCATATACTAAAATGTTCCTTTAATAATGGAGCTTCAATATCTGTGAGTTTTATTGGCAAGCGAAAACTGATTTCGCTGTTATTTTATCAGGAAATTGCTCATTTTTTTTAGGTCAATATTCAAAATATTTTACGGGAACAAGTTCGCACTTTTCTTGATTTTTGCACTCAAATCGCGTGCGATTCAACTGTATTGGAACTTGCAAAGAAGCTTGGTGATTAATTAACTGTGTTGTTATGGCACTGTTTGCAAAGCATGGATAATGAAACTCTGCCAAAGACTTAGCTACATAGCAATGCCTCAAGTAATACGCAGGAGGGACAGAATTCAGAGTCCGATCGAGAAGAATCGGTGCAAATGCTACGAAGACCAGGCAGGTCTGATACAATAGCTAGTCGTCTCACTACTCTCACTCCATTAGACCAGCTGATTCCTGACAGCACCGACTCGGATGCAAAGATGGAGCTCATCTTCCAAGCCAGAAACCAGTTCTTTGATGGAAGATGTGATGCTGCCTCTGTCTCTGCTTTGTTGGCCACTTTGGACGGGGCGGAGCTCCGCTCCTTGCGTGAGCGGTTATTCGCCTGTCATCCAGAAATAGTTCCTTCGTTTGCTGGCCGTTCCCTGATTAGGTGCAATACGGGGAGCTGTAATCAGGGAAGTAACTTTCCATATGAAAGGGGTGCAGGTGCACCCCCGTCCCCCATCCACTAGAAGTGCACCCCCATAGGCTAAGCGGCGCCCCACACGCAGCCCCACACGATTAGCTCTAGAGCAGATGGCGAGGGTGATTTCTCGGCTACATTCCATCTCGGTGTCGTGATGCTTGTGGGCTTGGAAAGCGTCCAGTCGTATGTAGGGTAGTGTAGGGGTAGGGTTGAGTTCAATAAGGTCCTTACATTTGAAAGGTTTGAACAACCCGCAATCAGCACAACATACCACAAGACACAAGTTAAATAAAAAAACTACCAAACTCCGCCCAACTAATATTAATAAACATTACAGCCAAACTAATGGCCTAAATAAAAATATATCTCAAATCCTAACAGTTATCGCGGGTGATGGTGCCATGAGTTGCTATTATCCAAAACAGATGCAAATAAACATGTTTGTATGTCCTATGTATGTTTGTTTTAAAAACGTTGCAGCGGCGCTGGGAACTGCAGTCTTAGATCTGGGTATGTTTGGCATCTGCAACTCTTCATATACACATTAACCCTATTTCGGACGGGGAGACCTTTCAGGATTTTCTTGTACAATTGCCAAACGCCGCGAGACATTAAGCTCATATTTCTTGACTTTTCCTAAATGCTCATTGCGCACATCTCAGCAAAAAAAAAAAAAATGCCGGGTCAGGTCAGGTCAGGTAATCAGAGCGGGTTTGTTGACCCCACCTCAGAAAAGTTTGCAAACACGTCAGAGCTTGAGTTTTTCACGAAGTTATTTCCTCTCATCAAGTCTTCAAAACAGTACCTGCAGTATGTGTCGTTTGTATATCTCAGAATTTTTGATCTGTGACCTGAGGTTAGGTCAGAGTCGTGACCTTTACATTGCAAGCCTATGGAAAAGTATTGAAATGCGACCTGCACCTCGAGTAAACGAGTCAAAACCACCCAATTCTTTAAGAATTATGACAAATTATCTTATATGTAATGATCCAGGTGCCATTTACTGCCAGGGACACCGGAGAGGGTTATCTGAGCCGAGATCATGTGAGGTGATATCTACCATACATCAATGCTCACAATACTTACAATATTGACAATGCTTTTGCTTACAACACTTACAATACTTATGATGAGACCAGCAAGCACTCTGCCGTTACAGTTCTAACTTCTGTTTCGAAAAACGACGTTACACACATTCGCTGCCAGCATAACATGTATTGTTTGACAGTAACAAAATACAATTGACATCTGAACCCCAAACGGACCGCCATCCACTCAAATTTTATAACCCTGACCGGTCAGGGGGCGAATGGAGGTCATTTCCTGGGCATTACACTCAGCCCTTGCACAAAATATCTCACCTCACAGTGATCATTACAACAATAGCACCGACTTGATAGTGGATTTCAAAGTACTTGCATCAGCTCTTCCTGCTATTGCAGACGATCATCTCCTCAGGGTAATGTTGTTCGGGACATGAACGAAGATCGTTTTCGGAGTTTCATAAGTCCTACTGCAACAGCCTGGCACAAAACAGGACTTGTACGCTCTTCTCTGCACTTTGCCCTTCAGTATATCACAAAAGAATTGTTTAGAATCCATCTTACGCTTCTTTCACAGTCTCCCTTGCCACCGTAGGGCGTAGATAGATTGCTGTTGCTGGTAAGTTAAGGCACGGTAGATAGAAATTACCTCGGTTCTCAACGCCTTAAATAAAAAAGAACAAATAAATGATCAATAAGATGACAGGAATGTAAACATTTTAATCGCAAAGTAGTCCAAATATTGGAATGAGCTTTTGCTTTTCAGCGTCCTCTGATTCATCATCTTTATCATTTGAAAATTCGAGATACATAAAATGTTTATCACGCGCTCATGTTAAGTGGGAATATAGTACACGGCAGACACATCAATTTTTGACACTGAACATTTCATCCGTAAATGTTTTAGCATAATTTAAAGCTAAAAACAGCGCGAATGGCAGAGTGAAGCAAACAACATCTTTCACCCATTGATATAACATGTAATCTGTGGTGCGCCAGATGCGCCATTATTTGTCAACCGCAGAAGGTGACATGTGACGTAACAGCATCAAGAGCATCTTTTTTCAAGAACTTTTCAAAACAAGTTTCCTATCTTTCTTCCCCCATTTCTCTCAGCTTATTGATTTTATGAGGCAATGGTATGCACCATAAATTCCTTGAAAATAGTTTGATCATTTTCATGCATTCTTAAAAAATCGAGTTCCCAACCCCATTGTTGCGTCTGAATAACATTTGACATTATTTGGCTAAGACCATTGTTATTTTTTATCATAAGGAAAACCACCAATCAGCGATAATTCTGCATATAAAAGATGTCATGTTAAGGCTATGTTTGTATGAATCTTGAAATATTCACAGTGCGCACGCGGTCATTTCATTGCAACATTTCATCGTGCTGCACACAACCGTACTTACCCCTCATGGACTGAAAGGTTCCACGAGTGAAAAGCACTGACATTAACTATCTAAAGCTAAAGCCCCTTACTCATATATATATATATATATATATATATATATATATATATATATATATATATATATATATATATATATATATATATATATATATATATATATATCCCGCGCCCTGGTGTGGGTCTGAGCCACCTTCGCCCTGGTGGGGGGGGGGGGGCCAAAATGACCCCCCCCCGTCTAACTCGAAAACGAAGAGGGCTAGGAAGACGCGGAAAAAAGCAAACGAAAGCCCATAACAAGTACGTTCGAAAGTATTTCGGTCATTTTTTC